CAGCATTATCTTGATGTCCAGTCAAAATCTGAAAGCGGCAAAATAATCAAACAACTTCTATTTTTTAATTGAACAGAGATAGTAGTAAGCAAAGGTCAAAGACAGATGTCATTTCTGTGACTCCTTATCCCACTAAGTCTTGAAAGGGTCCAACATTGAAAATTTCTCAAGGACAACTGAGAAATTCATGAAAAGAGACGTGGAAAAAACAGTTACCAAATCTGGACGCGAGGTTGTAGCTCCAAGGACAGCATGACGGTTAGGTTGAGCTTCAACATCCCAAATTAGAACCTAAATTTGGCAAAATCTCCAAGTAACTACAACTTCAAAATTAAACAATAGACATAGAAAACAAAGGAAACTTGACTATGTAGTCAAACTTGATAAAATAACAAACACTTACATCAGGACTGTCGGTATGTGTGGCCACTATCTTAGTGTTCTGTGGAAGTTCTCTGATTCTGTTTACCTGTCAAAATATATGAAAAGATTAATAAGAAGCAGCATAAATGTTAACAATATCACCAGCTTATGCAAAAAGACACAATCTAAAGAGTCTACAAGGGAAAGAATAGAAGCTTAAATGTTAACAATGTTTTTCCCTCATTTTGAATATCAAATGATGTAGTCTTTTGTTCATTATTCACACCAGTTTGAAACATTTCCCATTAAATTCAAACCCCAAAAAAGTGTAGTGCATCATCTCATTTTTCATTTTGTATAAACAGACTTAATAGGTGCATCAGTCATACCTCTCCAGGATGTATGATGGTTTTGTACTTCTTCACAAATGGTGAGCGGGCTTCCTCATTGAACTGAAAGATGAAGTATTCAATAATGAGATTAACAGAAAGAGTTAACCTTCATTCTAAAAGTCAAAATCAATCACGCATACCTGAGATATATGCTCTGCAGCGGCAACTCTCGGCTTGACAACCTCACAGTTTGCAATAACCAGAGTATTTGGAACACTGCCATCAGTCTGTCAACAAAACACAAACCAGATAATTTTTTAACAGAACATAAAACCATATTAACGTTTTAAGAAATCTCGTGTTTCAGCACAAGATATCAACTAATACCGTTTCAAGTATGATTTCTAAGTTGTACACCGAATCAAGCTCGCATTTTCTTCTTCAAATTACAAATATTTAAATGCATTTCGTGTGCTGAATTATTTCCGTGTGAGTAGTGATATTCCCAATTAACTGTAGGAAATCAAAATTGAGATGAGCAAACTTGCCTGCTCGGAAAGGTAGAGACGCTGGCGATTCTTGTAAGTAGCTTGCTCGAGCTGAGGTCCCCACCTGCCCAAAATACAAGCAGATTGACAATGCTAATTAAAAACAATGCAGACTTTAAATCTCCAGTGGCCTCAGAAACCCTAAAACCAGAAAAATCAGACACAGATACACCAAAACCGTAAAAACAATGCAAAAACCAGCGAGAAATGAGGCTGGATAAAACCCTAGAAAAACCTAAAACCCCAAAAATGGGGGTATAGTAAAAGTTAGAGAGAGAAAAGTTGAGAGAGAAGGAGAGCGTACCGGCAAGAGAGGGAGGGCCAGACGAGATTGTGGTTGGCGAGCCAGTCGTAGAGGATGGGGACGAGGGACTTCCACTGAGTGTACTTGTCGTCGACGGTGGCGTTCTGCTGCGACTTCTTCAGCTTGGCATGCTGTTGGTGGTCGTCTTTCTTCTCTTCCTTGGGCTTGGGCTTCCGACCCCGAGTCTCCTTCTTCTTCACCGGTCCGGCTTGCTGCTGCGACTGAGCGTCCATGGCTGCTCCGCCGAGTGTTTGGTTGCGAGACTCCGACTTCAAAACCCTTGCTTTTAATTCGACTCCCTCTCCTCGCTCGGTCGCTTTCACTCTCTCACGCTCTCTGTGCCTGCGTCTGTGACTCTGTCTGTTAATTGGGCTACACTACGCTAGTCCACTCCACTAGCGTGGACGATACACACGCATCCCGGGATCTTTTATTGAGGAAATTGATTTTTGAACACTCCGTAACTTTTAATTTTTTTTAACAGTTGAATCCAACAAATGGAATTAAAATATTATTTTATTATATTATAAAATAAATGATTAAATTAATAAAAACTTAATAAAAGGCATTTAATAATTATGAAATCCAGACCGTTCATCATTTCTTTTTAACAAGAGGGGACCGTTCACTTACCTTGATTGAACAAAAGGAAAACGAGTCAACAACAACATTAATTGCAATGATGATTAAACCAATAAAAATTAATAAAAAGCATTAATAATTAATTTTGAAGTTGTTGTCAGCAACTCTCTTACTGCCAATCCATATCATCGCCACATAGGATTTGACATTTCGGTTGAAGAATATTAGTGTAGTCATTTTTTACTGTTATAACTTATGTTGACATTTTGACATCTCCTTTGGAGATGCTCTAGAGTTTTCATATGTCAAATTAACATATGAGAAAAGGTGATGCCAAATAATTTTTAATTATTTTATTATGCGAATCTCATTAATGCACCAAGTATAGATCTTAAAATTTTATTTTAATTAATTTCTTTTTAAAATGAGTCCTACAAATATCATTTATAACAAAAAACATATCGGTTGAAAAAAAAAAAATTGACATTACCACGTCAGCCATCAAATTAATATTTGACATTTATTTTTTGACATCTCTTTTGGAGATACTCTTATTAACCTTCCAAGGGGAAAATAAAAACAAAGACATCCTAGAAAGACCTCAACTTTGGCACAGCAAGAAGAGGAATTTCTCTATGGATGACAATACCATTACACTCTCTCATGTCTAAGTCTCAATTCTTGCTCCACAAGGCAACTCCAAGGCTTTGAGATATAATTCACTACCCGAATTCTGCAACAATCAAACTTGTTCACAAGATTTGCCAACGCAAGCTCAATAGTTGCCATGGCAAACAAGATTCCAGGGCAGCCCCTCCTCCCCGGCTCCAAACGGCAATAACTCGAAGTCGTGCCCTATGAAATCCACAGCAGAATTCACAAACCTTTCCGGCTTAAACTCCTCAGGATCGTCCCACAGCACAGGGTCCCTTCCGATTGTCCATGCTTTGATGAAGACCATGGTTCTTGCTGCAAGGTCATAGTCCTTCACTTTAACATCTTCCACTGATTCGCGGGGAGCCAGTAATGGGATCGGAGGATGTAAGCGAAGCGTCTCTTTGATCACGGCTTTTAGCTAGTGCATTTTCTCCAAGTCACTTTCTGCTATGTCATGTTTGCCATTGGCAATTCCTGCAATCTCGTTTTGCAATTTTTTCAGCACTCTAGGGTGCCTTAGGAGTCGGGTCATTGCCCACTCTAGAACTGTGTATGTTGTAACAGTTCCACCTGCAAACATGTCCTACAACAAACCAAGAAAGATAAGCTTTGATCAATGGTGCAGTGCAGCAGGCACTCTAAAATTGTCTAATATAACAAATTATTGAAATCTTTCGTCCGTTTTTAATGCACAAATAAAACTGGTTACAAACATCAATTAAAAAGTAAGTTGAGAGGAACACTAAACTGCGGTATATCGGCTTATTGTCTGTTTAGAGACTCCTACTTCTATTATTGATTAGAAGTTCATAATTGATTCATTTATGCATATTTTTCTATATTAAAATTGCAGTACCAAACTTAAGGAGAGATGCAAGGCTCGTAATAATGACATAAAAGCCATGAGTTTTCATAAATCACCAATATCATATCACGAATCACAAAAAATTCTTAAACAATAAGCTTTGGAGCCGTCATAAATGTAGGTTAAACCAGTTGACTAGGATAATGTGTTCGGCTGAGTTCAGATACCATGCCAGTAGAGATGAAAACACTTACCAAGATGGTACCCTTGATGCTAGCTATCTCTATCAACGGAAGAACCAGCAACGTTGCTATGCTCTTGAACTTCAAGCAGGACATCCACAATGTCCCTTCTATATCTTCACCTTCAACCACACATGCTGAGCTCTTCTCTTTCGTCTTTAAAATTTCGACATGTTCTTCAACTACAACAACCAGAAATTCATCAAACTCTTTAGCAACTTTCTCCACTTTTGCATCCAATCCATTGACGTGATTAATCCAACCAAGCCATAGACTAAAATTCCCAACATTAAAAACGCCCAACAACTCAGTAAACTCCCCAAGCAACTCCTTAAACCTCCTCCCACCTTCACCTCCCGCCGCTATATTTTCTCCCGAAAGCCACCCTACAGACCACGGTCACCACATCACTCGTAAGTGAAGCGAACATCTCGCTCAAATTCACCGGCAACGACAGCAAACTAGACTGCTTTACGTGCTCAACCAGCAACTCCAGCTCTTCCTCCCTCATTCGCCTCCAGTACTCGCCGTAAGGAGCTGCAGACACGTCTTTACCTTCATAAAGAAGTCTGTCTGCAAATGCTAGCCTTGGTCTGTTGGAAAAGGTCGTGTCATTTGTTTTCAGGATCTCGCGAGCAGTACTGGAGGAAGAAACCACGAGCACCGGTCTCATGCCGAGGTGAAGCAGCAGGAGCTCGCCGTAGCAGTGAGCGAGTTGTTGTAGGGATCGGTGAGGGCGCGAGCCGAGTTGGTGGAGGTTGCCGAGTACGGGGAACTTTGGTGGTGAATGAGGTAGGTTTTTGTGTGTTGTTTTTGTTGTGCTGTATATCCATTTGACGAGGAAGAAGAAGATGAAGAGGAGGAATTGGAAGCAATGGATTGAGCATGGCAACCTTGAAAATAACGAGAGGATTGTGGGGAAGCGGATTTCTGAATCCTGTGCTTTATTTTGTTTTCATGCAACTTTCAGATTGAAACGTGTATTACAAATTGGAGGGGTGTAACTGCTAGTTTGTCTATACCACGTTTCCATGAGGAGTTCTATGACAAAAAGTCTCGGTATTAGTTAGAGTAAGATAATTTTATCTAAACTCTTCTTTTTTCTTCCCTCTCGCCGATGTGGAATAACCAACAAAGCGTGAGGAGTTTTATCATGCTATAAACCAGTATAACCAAACTTGTCCCATTTAAGAACCATAAGAGTACATTTGACTAACAATGTCAACAATATCATATCCTTAATGTAAATCTCTGATTTTTGTTAACAAAATTTCATAATTTAAAACCTCAGACATAAACGCCCGATGCAAGCAGGACGTACAAGGTTCCAAAACCCTGAAAACCAAAGAGAACAGTTGGAATGTTAGAAAAAGCACAACGAGGAGCAATATAGTATTGTACCGGTAGATGAAGAGAGGATTCTGACTACAAACGCACCAAAAAGAACGAAGCCAATGTTCCTGTTGTAATTTCCTTCGCAAGACTGCGGTTTGTCCTAGAAATGGTCGCCGCATAGCTGCAACAAATTTATACTACTGTTATCAACTACTATATTCAGAAGACGAAAACAACAAAAGATAGCCAAGATGAAACATGAGGGTTTAAAAGTGCCAGAGTATCATTCCCGGCTGCTGATTCATGAATTATACGAAACGGTTTCCAAACTGCACTAAGAATTTAAAAAACCAAAGCTAAGTGTCTTGTGTGACGCCTTTACGAATCCAAACAAATAAATCTTCATTCAAGTAGTTTTTTTTCGACCCCCAGGATTGGAAATCCTGTATTTAACATATCAATCCGATTGAATCGTGGGTTTCCTGACATATACCAACTCAAACATGCAAATGGTTGCTAAGCAATCTTTCAGGCTTTCGGATTCCTCTCATGCCTATGTTTAACCTGATTCTCTGATCTTTTAAGCCAATATGCTTATACGCAGATCATCGATTTGAATTCCCACTTTTTGATACTCAATTCTAGTGATCTAAAGTAGTAGTTTTTATTGATTTGGGTCTTTCAATTTTCATAACTTCTTGGTTTAGACTCCGATTCAAAGATTAAATCGGCCAGTTATTCGTATTTGCCCGATATCCGCAATCCCAGGTTCTAATTCTACATTATAAACATCAATTGTGACAAATGCTTTCTCAGCATGCCCAACAAAAACACAATTTTCTGTTTGGCTGCTCAGAAAATTGCAAATAAACAAAATAGACCACACTAAGAATCTAAAATCCGCATTTCTAATTTGCTTTTCAACAATTTCCATATAATTTTGCAGGGAACCACAATTTGCAAGCCCAAATTTTCTAAATTGACAACAAGATCTAAACGGAAAATAAGACCAAATTGAGAAAAAAAGGATCTGGCAATGGTGGATCGGACTCACATGAAGAAGGAAGCGGTGAAGAGGAGGCCGAGGGAGACCATCACGACGGCGAGGGTCGGGTACCACGTGATCGGCACAGGACTGGTAATTGCCTTCGGAGCCTTGAGAAGGAAAACGGAAGAACAAAATCGAAAACGTTAGAAGCTAAAACGGAGAAGCAGATAGGCAGAGAAAAGTGCTTTTGGAGTGCTTTTGGCTTACCATCGGAGCCGGCGAATTGGAAGTTCTCGAAAGCTTCGGTCTTTGATCTGTTCAGGTCGAAGCAGAGAGTGCAGAGACTGGGGGCGAGTGAGAGAGTACGGGAATGCTCTCTCAGTCTAATTGACCGAGGGGGCATCCTCTAGGTGTTCGGCAGCAATCGTTACCGATTTTGGCGGGTTTTGGCTTAATCACCACCGTTGATCTCCAAACGCATCGTTTGGAGTTCGTATTATATTCATCAATGTTTTATTTAACCTCGTTTTTATTGGATTTATTTAATATTTTTAAATGTTTGCTTCATTGCACTTAGCATCCTCTTCACTTAAGTGAAAAAATTTAAGTTCGATTCTTATTAAAAACGAATATAAATCACATTATTACTATTTTATTATAAAGCTTAGTCCATCTTCCTTTCCTAAAAATTTGTTTCATGACTAATGCACCTCTTTAACCCAATTTGGACAAGATTTGCAAGTTGACCTTTGTTGGTGGAACTTGCACTTTTTCGATCTTATATGCTTTAGCATATACTTGAAAAAATGAAAAATTGGAATGATTCTAGTTTATATTCTTTGTGAGCAAACATGTCATTAGTAGCTTTCTAATCAAATCCTAGGCTTCATACACCGCCTTACCCCAAAAAAAAAAAAAAAAGAACTTTAGCGAAAAGTTCATAGTACTACTCATTTTAAAGAAAAATCATATTTTTACACTAAAAAGTTAATTCTAGAACTATTCACTTTACCATTTATTTTGTTCTTATCGTTAAAACTCAAAGTTTTCAAACATTTTTCATTAGTTTTCTTGAAGAAAAAATGGACTAATGTATTTGAAGCACAAAAAAATAGAGTAATATGCACACACATAGCTGCTTACTATCAAAAGTAGATTTAGACGGACAAACAGACAATAAGTCGGATGCACAAAGTCAGGGAAGGAGAGAAGCAAAGGGGTGAAAAATAGATCTAGACGGACAAATAAACAATAAGCCTGATTTTGTGCATCAATACCCATGGTTTAGTGCCATCTAGCGTCACTAGTTATGTCCCCAACATTCTGTTTCTTATTAAAAGTTTGTAACCGATTCCAATTGTACATATTGTCCAAAACTAATATGAATAACTTTGTTACCATACTATTTTTGGGGATATTTTTGATCATCTCATCAACCAATTTGACAGTAATGTGAAATTTTATTGCTCTGGAAGAGAAGGGAACAGATGGATTAATTTCATGGCACAAAATGTTCTCTACATTGTTGGTAACAAAGAGCGTCCTTTTCTCTGAATAATACACAAATATCACAGAGAATTTACAAATTTAAAAAAAATTGATTTCCAGCAGCCTTTGGTCCAAAACTTTTGATGCTTCAACTCTGACAATTCAGTAGGTTAATCACACTTAACCTACTCATATATACTTAAGCTCCAGTTACCGTTTCGACGTTTATTAAGGTTGATCCGAATTCGTACCTCCATCCATTCCAGTTCTACACATCTGCACAACTTTGCCCATGTCCGAGTTCCCATGCGCAGCAGACTTCTTGTCGTAATGGCGTTCTGCAAATGGGCGCTTCTTGCGTGGTGATCTGAGATTTAGGAATCAAGCAAGAAACCGAACATTGTAAACTTGTAAGTAGGCGTTCAATGGGGGGAGCCTTGAAATAATTTGAACATAAACCCATGTTCGCTCACACTGCCCCCGGATGATCTCAGTTTCTCCCAGAACTGCTTACTCCTTCCTGTTCCCAAAGGACCTGAACTGGAGTGCCTCCTAAACGAGTCAGTATCTTGCCTCCCTGTGCTCATTGAGGTACTGAGCATCCTCAACAATGATGCTTCCCGCTCTGTCTCAAGGTCGGAATCATAGGTCAGCATGGAATATCGGTTTTGGAAAGTATCTGGCAACTGTCCCGAGGTAGTATTTGTGTCATCAGCCACATCAATGGACACATCGTCTTGGCTAGAACTCCTTGAACCTAATTCTTTCGCCTCATCGAACTCATTGCATACCAGTTTTAAGGCCTGGACAACCTCGCCCATAAAAGGGCGGTGTGATACCTCTGGCTGTACACACATCGAAGCAATAGCTGCCACTTTGGCAATACTTTCAAATGGGACCACGGATCCTAGATTTGGGTCTATGATTGCTTCCAACCCTTCTTTACATGTGAGAAGCGGCCGGGCCCATGCAACTAGGTTTTCTTCACCAGGTGGCTGTGACATGTCTACCGGTTTTCTTCCAGTTAAGAGTTCAAGAAGGACAACGCCATAGCTATATACATCACTCTTGACAAGAAGATGCCCAGTCATTGCATATTCCGGAGCCACATACCTGAATATTATCATTTAGGAATTTAAAGATGTCGGAGACTGTCACCAATGAGACATAATCTGGACACGAAATACAGCAAAGAGGAAATTTCATACCCGAAAGTTCCCATGACCCGTGTTGATATGTGTCTGTTTTCCTCATCCATGGCAGTTCGCGCCAAACCAAAGTCAGACACTTTTGGTGTAAAATCATCTTCCAGCAAAATATTGCTGGCTTTGAAATCCCTGTGTATTACACGGGGGCTGGAATCCTCGTGTAGATATGCCAGCCCCCTAGCAGCACCAAGTGCTATTTTCATGCGTTGTACCCAATTAAGTGGAGCACTGTCCTTGTCAATTCCTGACAGCAAGAAAAATGGACAGAAGCCCTATGTCAAAAAGAATCCTTCGACATTAAAAAATTCATTAAGAACGGAACAATTATGAATAGAGCGGGGGGTACCATGCAAATGAGATTCCACACTGCCATTAGGAATGAGTTCATAAACCAAGGAGCGGCTATGCTCTTCTGTGCATATGCCAATCAACTTGACCAAGTTTCGATGATGAAGACGACTAAGCATCTCTACTTCAGCCAAAAACTCCCGACCACCCTGCTGATCATCTCTTTTTAGAACTTTGACAGCAATCTTGGTCCCGTCTTCAAGAACACCACTATAAACACGCCCAAAGCCACCTTCCCCAAGTACTCTTGAATCGTCATAATTGTTAGTGGCTCTCTCAATGTCACTCGCACTGAAAGTATTAGCAGATCCTGTATATGGTGCAATGCTGGATCCGAATGATAACGACAAGGAACTGTGCCTACTTTCCATCATCGACCCAGCAGTACCTGCAAAACATACACGTTATCTATATTAGAAATGACAGTGTAATATGAGCACTGTCCCAGAAGTAACTGACCTAATTCCATTAATTGACACAAAGAAAAGGCCTAATTCAATTAACTTTTGGGGATTCATATTACCAGATGGTTTTTCAGAAGAAGGTAGCAAAGCCCGCGGAGTTGCTGCTGGTTGAGAAGCACAGTCTCTAGGTTTGAACAGAAAAACCCAAGCAGCAGCAGAGCATAAAGCAACTGCTACAAAGGAAGACAAAGCAATAATAGCAATTACCCCACCACTAAGCCCATTTTTATTCTTCCTCTTGTCCATGTAAACCCCGAGGGGCTTCATTGTCCTTCCATTATTGTCATTAACAGGATATGGCCCCGCATTCATTGCATCAGCATCCGAAGAAGGTGGAGACGGGGGTAAACCTATACTTATGTAGTTTGTAGAGATAAGCATTATTGATACAAATACTTCAGTATGTATGTGCATATGTCTAGTTACATACCTGGATACCGCACATATAGTACTTCATAGTCGCCAAAACACGATGCTTTTATAACAACTTGTTTATGCCAAAATCTCTGGGAAGTCAAAAAAGCTGTGGTGTTATCAAACTTTTCCCCAAGGGGAACCAAGTCAATGAGGGCAACTGTCTTGTCTGGTTGCTGGGTAGCTGCATTGGCTCCAATAATGCGGACCTGACTTTGTTGCATAAAAACCCCAACAGCAATTTCCTGGGCTAGTTCTGAAACCAAGGGGAAGAACGTATACAGTGCAACACTAAGTCGCAGTCCAACTTGCAGAGGCAAGACACAGCCACAAGGTGACCCAGGAGGAGTATTTGTATATGGATCAGTGCAAATAGTTGATGAACAATCTGAAAACAAGAAGAACGTTTGTATTACATTTTAGTATGAAAACTGAAGAAGAATGTCGTAGGATCAATAAAGAGAGCAGGAACACCAGTTAAAGAAAATTGCGAGCTTATATACCTTGATTGGGAGGTGGCGGTGGGAATACTAGTTGCAGCGGTGGTGGTGCTTTTGGGCTCTTTGCCAAAGACCCAGATGGAGAAATCTTAGGGTGCACTTGTGATTCCAACCATGTAATTATTAGGTAACGTATTCAGTAGACAATAAGATAAATCAGTCAGTTCAGAAATAAAATATTACAGAGAACCAGAGGCAAGATCATTTCTTACATTTGGTTTCGTGAGTAGCGCCTTCTAAAGATGGAGAAGGAACAGGCGAAACATGGCTCACTGACGGAGCTTCAGGTAAATGGGATGGAGGAACCGAAGACCCTGACATGTAGAAATTGTGTTAGCATTGAAAACCAAAGTTTGGTCCATTTCTCAGGTGAGGGATGGAATAAAACACCAAAACTTCAATGCTTTGATACCTGGATTTAGGGGTGGAGGAGCATAGTGTCTTTGCCTGCCTGTTCTAAATGATACCGGTGGCATCACTGGACCTGCATTAAGTATTCAAATGATAATTTAATGATGTCAAAGAACATGATAAGCCATGGTATAATAATTTTTTTCTAGTGTGATTTAGGCTCATTTAATTCAAGTGAAACATGAAACCTTGATGTTCTGAACTGGGATGAGAAACCAGATATGATGGCCCTTGAGCCGGACTCTTTTTTTTTCAACCTAGAATGATGATACTTATGGAATGTCGAAGGGGAAGATGCAGGAGATTGTTGCCCCTTATCAAAAGAAGGTTCAGGGGATGAAATAGACGGTGCAGGAGCAAGTTTATAATGTCTCACGGGTTTGTGGACAGAAGGAGCCAAAACGGAAAACAGAACCTAGACTTATACACTTGACAACACAAACTTTCAAGTAGCAAATAATAAGCATAGTTTTTTGTTCTTTATACCTTCAGCTGGAGTATGGACCTTGGGTAGTGACGGCCTGGGAGCTTCATATGCTGATCCAACCGGGGGATGAGATGATACCACAGGTTTGTGGACAGATGGAGCTATAGCAGAAAACAATATGTAGAACCAAAATTTTCACAATACAAACTTTCAAGCACAGAAAAATATGAAATACGCAGTTTTTCTATACCTTCAGCTGGGGTGCGGTCCACAGGTAGTGATGGCTTGGGAGCTTCATATGGCGGTGCAACAACTGGAAAACGACCCCTTTTCCCGTTGATGCTGGGTGGAATAGATGATACAGGAGGATCTGCAAACTCATATTAGGGTCAGTCAATTATTACAATGGTTAGAACATAATTGTTATTGACTGCTTCAGCAGCGTCACAATTGAAGACCAATATAACACTGATTTTCTGTAACCTGATATTGGGGTCAGTGAATAAACAAATTTCTAGTTATTAAAAAGATAAGAATGATCAAACGCGCTCAGGTGGCACATTGTCACAAACAGTCAAAACATGAATAATGTTATTGAAATTAAGTTTGGATACAGAAGACTAAAGGTTCAATGTTAACTGCTAAAAAAATCATGATTAAATGAGGTATGGAACTGATTCAAATCGGTATCACAGTGCGAAAATTAAAACTAAAGTTGTATATCATGCTCTTTTTAAAGTAGTACCAGGAAAAGTGGATGGTGATTCTCCAGGTGTAACTGGGTGAACGGATGGCGGATTTAGTGGCAAATTGCTAGTTGGTGATGCAACTGGTGCTGCATTTTCAGAGAAGAACAAATTGGTCATTCTCACTAGTTCCTAAATTGTAAAATTTAAATGTGATCGTTTCAGGAGAAAAATGGGGGTGGGTGGAAGGCGCACCAGGTAATGTAGGTGGTGGTACATTTGGTGTGATCGGATGGACTAAAGGTGGATTTGGTCCCAATGTCCTCGGCAGGGATGAAATAGGTGCTGTATTTTGAAAACATAAATAAACTAATTACTGCTTGCAACCATCATCTGAGAACTAGTAATGTCATAGCAAAATGCAACATCTACCTGGAGCAATTGGCTGTGGTATGGGAACCTTATTGTTTGGCACATGTCTTTGATGAGCAAATGGCGAAGTTTCTGGTGTACTTGCATGCATGGCCGGTGAAATTTGTGGCAAATTCCTCGAAGGTATTTCAACAGGGACTGGACAATATCATACAAAAAATATCTGGTTGGAACCAATTTAACAGAAATCCATCACATAAATAGCTCTGCTGGTTTATATACCTGGAGCAATTGGCACTGAGCTAGGACTCTTATTGATCGCTGGCTTTGTTTGAGGAACAGTCGGTGGCATAGACGGTACATGACCAACACTTGGTGGTGGTGGGGCATTAGTTGGTGGCGTAGATGGTACCTGATCTTTAACACTTGGTGGTGGAGGAGCATTATTTGGTGGTGCAGATGGCACATGAACTTCAATACTTAATGGTGGAGGAGCATTATTTTGTGGTGTAGATGGTACATGACCTTTAACACTTGGTGGTGGAGGAGCATCATTTGGTGGTGCAGACGGCACCTGAACTTCAATGCTTAGTGGTGGAGGAGCATTATTTGGCGGCACAGGCTGTACATGACCTTCAACACTCGGTGGTGGAGGAGCATTAGTTGGTGGCATAGACGGTACATGACCTTCAACACTTGGAGGAGGAGGAGCATTATTTGGTAGCATAGGCGGTGCATGATCTTCAACACTTGGTGGTGGTGGAGAATTAGTTGGTGGCATAGATGCTGCATGACCTTCAACAGTTGGTGGTGAGGAAGCATTATTGGGTAGGGCAGAAGGTGTATGAACTTCAATACTTAGTGGTGGTGGAGCATTATTTGGTGTCCTAGGTGGTACTTGACCTCCAACAGTTGGTGATGGAGGGGCATTATTTGGTAGCGCATACGGTACATGAACTTCAATGCCTAGTGGTGGAGGAGCATCTTTTGGTGGCACAGACGGGACTTGATCTTCAACATTTGGTGGCGGAGGAGCATTATTTGGGGGCAGTGGGGTGGACATAAGAGGTGGCTTTTTGGGTGATGGGTGTAAATTGGACCCTGCGATATCAAAATTATGAGCTTAATCAGATGATCATAACTTCTAATCTATAACAGCAGAGTTATGGGACTTACCATTTGGCTGTAAACCGGGGATTGGGGCATTGCTTGTGAATGGCTTTCTGTTGGGAAGAGGAGGGGGAGCTGTTTCAACAGGAGGATTCACGGAGAGAGGTTCTGGTGATGGTGATATATTTAACCCTGAGAAGGTAAACGCTGGTGCTCGTAAGAAAACTAAAGCAAAGCTATGAAAGCCTGATATCTTCACAGCCCTATTATTATCCATTCTTATTATCTAAAAGATTATACTTTACAGGTACAGTACGATTTAGACTTAAAACAGCATTTCATCAGATGAAACGTATGGTAAGGAATTTCCCAGATCCAGACGAAACCGGAACTAGGATTTGCTAAACCACCAAACTTCTCAGGACGTTGTCATTTCAAAAACAGAGCATTACAATTTCTGGTCATCAGCATGCACTAGGTGACCCACTAGCTGTGAGCTCTGGTCATAAAATTACACTCGGGCAGCATGCAGAAGACAATTCAACAAGCCGAGAACATGTTCAGGTCGAAGAACATGCCGAAATTCGACTCATTGAGAACACAAATGTGAATGCAGAATTTGATCACAAACACTACAAGCACGAAACAATTCAGACACTCAGATCACTGCAATGTTACTAAATCACAAAATCTTCCAAATCATATCAAAATTAACAACTCAATCCAACAGTTCTAAATTACTAACATGTTTATGTGAAACATTATCACTTCAACAGAGATTTGCAAAGATTAAAAGTTTACCTGCAGATCCTTGGAGAGCAAAAGCAAAGCCAATGACACAGAGATTCACCAGCTGGAGAATGGCTGGCATCATCACCAAATCTCAAAATCTCCACACCCAAAGAACTCCTCCAGAGTAAGAAGTAATTAGAGAGCAATAAAATAATAACAATCACAACAATTAAAGGAATAAATTAATCACCGTATTAATGAGTTGTAACTTGAAGCAAAAATAAAAAGGGGGTGATTTTATTGGATTAAAAAATTCCCACAAGCAGTGAGAGCAAAGCAAGGAGAAGGCAACCCAGAAAAGGGTTTGGTGAAAACAGCTAGGAGAAGCAAAACTCCTAGCTTTCTGAGAACAAAAGCTCTGGAATTTGCAGAGCAGAGCTTTGAGAGGTCCATGAAAGATAGAAACTTTTCAACAGACATGAGGTGCAAAACCCAACTGGGAAATTTGGAAATTAACCGGAAAATCAAATATTTTGTAACGTATATACACATACAGGGAAAACTTACAGTGCCAAAGTAACAGATTTTGTGAGAGGAGAGAGAGTGAGAGAAGGGAGGTGTATTTGAGTGAGAGAGAGAGAGAGAGAGAGAGAGAGAGATTCTTGTTGATTTCTAGAGAGAGAGATTCTTGGTTAATATTTTAGTGGGGAAGGGATTATGTTAAAAGTGCAAAACTTTTGTTTGGGGTTGAAATTCTTGTTGTTTTTAATGGGATTTTACTTGACTTTCATTTTCTTCTTTGGTTTGAAGATTTTCCTGTCGGCCATGGTAATAATAAATTTTAGAGAAAAATTTACATGTACTCGACTCTGTTTTTACTCATGTATATAACACAAGCATTATTGGACTTATTTTTTGTGTTTATATCTAATTTCGTTTGGTAATAGTATTAAACACAAATAATCATGCACCTAGTTACGCTTAAAATTTAATAGAGGATAACCTTTTGAGTGTGAGGTGTCAATATCAAGGGTTTGACACATCACCCTCCCTCTATGATCTGGATGCTTTCAATTTCAAAAACCTTATTTTAATACAAGATAAAAGACTATCTATATTATTTTACCAAAAAAAAAAAAAAGACTATCTATATTATATTCTACAAGCGTATGGTTTAGCAATCAGCATCCTCATAAGATAAAAAGTAATTTTCTTTTTGGTTGGAAAATAAAAATATATGATAAGATCATTTTCGCAAACGTAGAATCCTTTGATGGATTGAAGTAGAAGCCTTTCTTCTTTATTCTTTTCCTTGGTGGGCTACAAAGTAAAAAGAAACAAAGTCAAGTACTTTTTATTAGTTGCATATATAATCATACACTAATAATATAGTTTCTAAGTGCGACTATCACACGGAAAATTCTTTTCCAACGTTAGATTCATAATACAAAATTTCACCAAATGCAATTCTTGGATTAAGAAAATGAAAAATATATATTACAACAAACGTGTTTTTTAGTTGAATTTATTTATGTATTGTGACAAGTAGTCGATATAAGATCAAATCTTCAACACCCAAACTGTCCCCAGTCAACACTTTTAAGAAGGATATAAATGTCTTCTCACAAATAGCAGTATACGTTAGGAATGTATTGACGGAGTTTAAATCTTGGGAATTTTAACAAAAGCTTCTGATACTGATCACTTTAACGAAAAATCACATTTTTACACTAAAAAGTCAATCTTGGTACTATTCACTTTACTCTTTATTTTGTCTTATCGTTAAAACTCAAAGTTTTCAAGTCATTTTCACTAATTTTCCTTTAAATCTTCTGTAACCAAAATGGGTGTGGCCTTTCTACGGCCCCAGTCATTGTTCGACACCTATTAAGTTTATGACAACAAACTTAAGAAAAAAAATTATAAACACGTGTGAGTTAATAATTGAGATCACACAGAGATTACATCTATTTTAGATGTAGAAGATTTGGTCTCGGTCAATACATTCCTAACATATGCTGCAATTTATGAGAAGCCATTTAATCATTCTAAAAAGGGTTGACCTCAATATTTATTCATGGGTCCGTACTCATAAGTCCTTAAATGGAATATTTAAGGTTATGTCTCTTCTTAAATGGCTGCCTTCCATTACTTTTGAAACGGAAGCATCTATGGATAGGTTATGCTAATACATTCATACCTAATTTCAGGTTTTGGTAATTCATGGCTAATTATGGAGCAAATGTGGTTTAAGTCAATTTGTTATGACAATGGCAAGTGATTTATAACTCAATTGGTTAAGAGTTTTTGTCTTTACACTTAAGGTTCCGTGTTCAAATCTCTCTCCTCATATTTTGATGTAAATTTCCTATCATTTGTTAACAAAAAAAAAAAAAAAAAAAAAAGAAAACAACAACAACAATTTGTTATGATGGTGTGCCTACTCCTTTGGATCTGAATCCAAATCCCAATTCATGTAAATTAAGTAGGTTCAAACGTCCCTTTATCAATAAAGGGGGCGGACCGTGGTATCATTTTTTTTAGATAATTTTTTACGCAAGTTTTTATGGGGCGAACTTTGTAATCTGTTTTAATGAATCAAATTGTCTATCTTTTGGGTCTTTCTTCAAAGATAATGTTTATTAAAAAAAATCCAAATCTAAAACATATGACTGTTGGATTAAGAGTTTAGGGCTTCTTTGTAGAACCGTATTCATCTTTTTTTTCTTACTACAAATGAATGTTCATGGTTTTGCATTTGCCTAATTTCTTGTAAGGATGATCTATGAATGGTGTTCTAAAAGATACAGTTCAGATTGTTAAAACACATTACAAAATAGGCCCCATAAAAATGTATGTCAAAAGTTGTGTAAAAAAAATGATATCACAGATCCATCTCATGTTCGAACCTCTCTTCCCATAGTTTAATGTATATTTCCTATGGTTTATCAAAAGTAAAAAAAAATTATTATGACAATGTACCTGCTCCTTTGGACCTGAATTCAAAATCTCAGTTCTTATAAATTATAGTAGGTTCAAATATCTCTTTATCAATAAAATACAACATATGAAAAGCTCATAAAATCATAAACCTATAATTTTGGGAAATTGACTAAAATGAATAATTTATAAATCAAACCCTTTTAAAAATATAAATATGTCATCAATATTTGATCCGTTGTCTGTATTTAACGTTCATCAACTCCCCCGTAATTCTCTTGTAATGGAATTACAAACAAAATCAGCCACAAAATTCAAACATTGCCAAAGTGGAGCCCTAATCTGCTGGTTTAGTTTGTCCAAACTTAGAGCTGATTTTGACCGATCATCCAACCTTGTGGACTAGTTTGTTGATGATGCAAATATTTCTAGAGAATATGCTTCTACCATACCCACACCTCTCAACCTTGGCTTCAAGTGTGACAATAATTTAAAAGTCATTTTAATCACCTACAAACTACTTATTTATCAGACAGTTAGTAACACAACTTACGTGGAATTTATATTATTTTTTCAGTTTTAAATAATTTAGTAAACAGTTTCAACGAGAATCATAATTCTGGCTCCTTTTCGATTATATTCATCCTCATCAAACTACGAATTAATAAACGTGTCATAAAACTCTGAGACACACCTTACCCATCGAGTGGACGCACAAATTCTCTTTTCTCCCAGTTGCTGGAAATATACTTGAAGCTCAACTCGTTCACTTGTTCTAATTGACTTTGTGATAAAAAAAAAAATTATCATGATCAACCATGGATTTAATCAGACAAATAAAAGATTATGGCATCGTGGGATGTAGACAAACCACTGAAAGTCCCACCCCACATGCTGAGTGGACCATTCGAATCTATATCACCATCCAAACATTGTTCCAAACACATTTCTGCGTCTTCTTTTTTACTTGGGTCCCTCCTACTCTTCACTTCACGGACCAAGACTATAACGCGTCTGTTTGAGGCCACCGATAACGACTTCAATGAAATGAAAATGTCATTGGGTCGATATTTTAACTCAATCACGTACTTTTATAAAAGTTAAAACACGTAATAAAACGTGATTCATAATAACATTTCCGTTGCAAGAAGTTTCTCTCGAGGCCATGAGGCCCGCGTAATAACCGAGAGTTTAAAAATTGGGTTTCATTATCACAATGATTTCTCTACTCAGTAGTTAGAGCAACCTTGTGATCCAATGGTTTTCTTGTCGCTGACTCCATCTTTGTTCGAGCAATGGCCTGCAATATTTCCATCACGACCTAAAAAGCAAAGGTAACGTGACTGTTCTGCCACAAAGCTTCTTTATGACCATCTAACTAGATAGCTTGTAGGCCAAGCCTTCACTTCCGACAAAGACAATTCAATCCTGCATCGCTTATTGCAACAAGAACAAAGATGGTTGGCACTTGGGACCAGAGAGAAACCTCCCGACAGTGCGTGAATGGTTTGAGATACCGTCAACATGACATTCAATGTGGATGAGAGATTTTTCTCATCTAGTTGGAGATCAAATTACATGACACCAGTACACTACCATCATAGCGTCCCATGCCATGTAAGTCTTTCTCGTCCCGTAGGGTTCAACTTTGCACTCTTTATTTCAACATTGGTTTGTTTCTTTTTGAGGCTGCAGCTTTGCTAAAGGCTGGAAAGGCACACTAGTAGGCTCCTTACTCCTAGTAAGTCTTACCAAACTGGAGTCCCACTCAACAAGGTCTTCAGCGGCAATCAGGGATTGTAATAATTGTATGGACCCTGAGAGTGTGACCCTTTGCCCCTTCTATCATAAGCATAAGACTAATCATTTTAACAATTATTAGATGCATAATTTTTGTATTCTTGATCACATTCCAACAGATGCGGGTCAGGGCCGTTTCTGCTTGCATCACTCAATCGACAAAACGAAAACACGAAAAGAAATGTCTCGCGACTGCAAAGTGGAGTGCAATGATTGAGTTTCAAAGGCCACAAAACTGGAAAGTGCTAATTAAAGAATGTGTTTTCACATTGAAGCCGTCTAATGCGGTGAAGATAGCAGAGAATTACAATTCTGGATGTAGATTTATAACAGAACTCAGATTCCGAATCCAAAAATACAAAAACGGATGAACAATAATCGACACCAATCGGTACTTGGGTTAACTTACTGGACAATGTCTCATCTTTGAAGGCCACCTCTTGATCTCACTTGTTGCAGAGAGAATGAACCACTGACAAGTTGTTCGGTTTGGGAAGCACTAGAGAACATCTGTGGTTAGTTCTCATCCAAAAGTGGTAGCTAGCTATCCACCTTAAAGTGACAAAAATGACCTATACGGGGCAACCTTGGATTTGGTTCTCAAAATTGCAAGAATACAGAGGACCTCGAGCATAGACAGAGAAATGCAAAAGTACATTTGATAAAACCATAGGTCACAAGTTTATGACTCTCGGTGGTTACTTCCCTTCGAGAGAAATTACTTATTTGGATCGAATTCTCCAAATCCACTCTTGAAATCTTCCACCATCTTGGTTTCCTCTTCTTTGCTATCTGTACAATTCTTCCAATCATCCCTGTCAGCCTTCTTCAACAGACCCGCCATAACCTGC